ATGAGAAATAACTATAAAGACTCAAATGGCTAGCGTAATACACATGTGAACACACACGCGAATGCCTCGACCTTGTGCGACACCGGCTTGGAATTGTGTCTATTTTTCGGGACTTCCGAGTATACACGATAGCCATCGGACTATATTTGATAGATTACCTGTGTTAGACAACTTGTCATTTGAATACAGGAAGACTAGTAGGCTTAAGCGTAGCGTAGCAATTGCTTTTTGTGACAAAACAAAGTCGAAAAAATATGCGTTGACATCCCTGCAGAAGGTCCACTCTGCTGAGAACCGAGTCTTGTAAATTAAGCCCGAAGCCATGAATTTTGTGATAAATACAGACCAACTTTGTATTATTGAGCATGTAACTTATATTCTATGTAGTTTCCAGTAGAAATCACCTACGTGTATATAATAGGTCACACATGTTCTTCAACAAAAGTCGAACAATATTTACAAATTCGAACAGTGAGAAAACATGCCTTCTTAATGACAGCAACTCATTAGGAACTTGGAATAGATCGTGATGCATTCATTATAACTCTCATCTATTTCGTGTGACTAACGTGTTTACGGTATTTGATATTCCAGAGTTTTTTCATCTTCCACTGGGAAGCAAGAATTGGCTGTGAAGCGAGCCAAAGATTCTAGATCTTGCAGAAATGTTCTCTCAGTCATAAACAACTTGAGATAATAAACGACAAGTAACGATCGATGTTCTTAATCAACACATGTTATCCACTTGCAACGCGAAATTAAGATTTAAGAAGGAAAAAAAAAAAGAGAACGAAACGTAAAGACACGACGCTAACTAGAAAAAACTGATGGACAGACAATATAATGTCAGTTCCAAACTCTCAAGATCACTTTTGCCATTTTATACAACAGCAACATGAATTAATCATAATTACAACTTTGTGGGATGATCAGCATCACAGTCGTGTTAAACTAACAGATGCTCAGAAATTGTTACCCTACAGAATACTATCGAGTAAATCGAGCGAACACAAAATTCCCATTAGCTTTTGTTGCTCACCTCAGTTTGACAGAGTAGTCTTCTCTTAGGTTTCTTGACAGATGTCTCTCGAGAGATCCGATGTAAAAGCATTACACTTATAAAACAAGATTCTTTATTGGCTAACTTATTTAAGCAGAATAATCGCTTGTTATCAATAAGAAAGTAGCCACGGATTGTTCTAGAGGCTCCGTCGCAGCGTAGCACTAGTTTACTCTCGCTTTCCCTCCGTCTTAAAGCGATCTACGCTTCATCGAAATTCTGTTTGTTAAAGAGATTAGGAAATATAAATAACAAAAAAGTGAGCTAAAGATCAGTGGGTAGAACTCCAACAGGGACCGAAGAACTACTGTGTTAGTGTGTAAGAAGGTCCAACGCCACACAGTTGAAACAAACTGGCTAAGTGTACCGGAGATAAACCGAGCCCCTCTGGTAAAGAAAACCATACAATTTATGAACGTATCAATCTCAACAAGAAAAACTGTCAACAAGATAACAACAACAACAACAGTGTCACAGTGTAATGTGGCCCACAGAAGCTCGAGTGAACGAGGCGAAGCAGAATGTTGCGAGCTGCCCTTCCCACATGATTGATTAACTTTCGCACTGAAAAATAATGTTTTGTTCGGATTCGACCACGACTACAAAGTATGAGAAAGGCAAACCTACCTTTTTGACTTCCTACTTATGTAAAATTCATGTTCTCTGAGTAGAGAACCAAGACTTTATGGAGGTTTACATATCACACATGAAAATAACCGATTGCAAGCGAAAAAGAAGCGTTGCCAAACATTACATTTATCTTCATCATTCCACAACCATGCTTTCAATGCGCTCGTCATTTGTTCCCCCCAGAAAATTTAGCTCCATGTTTTTTGATAAAACAGAAAAAGTGAGGACAAGCCACTAGAAAATCAAAAAATCCTCGTTTGTGAACCTGGGCATGCATCGTCATTTCCAATAATGCACTAACTTTGCACTAACAATGCTTCTTCGAATAAAGCTATCTTTTGAACCTGCAAATTGCTTCATAATCTTCTATCATCCTATCCACTTGCTTCACAGCTGGCTGGAAAAGAGCTCTGCAATATTTTTGTATCCCTGCAGCTGCACACTTGAAAAAGTAGTGGTTGAGAGACGCTCCATAGTTTGTATGTTAACATCTGCATTCGTGCAAAAACATTAGCTGCAAAGGAGTCACTCCTAACCTGCTACCACCTGCCTTCATTTCGGCACCAAGAATTCGCTACCAATCATTTGTTCTTCTTCTTCTTCACTCATTGCCACTTGCTTCTTACTCTTCCTAGTTAAGATGTAGTTCACTTGACACTTGTTCCTCATACTACTTCAGATTTGCTCTACGGTAATAATGAAAAGTTCCGCGTGGCGAAAATTGTACGAAGACTAGCACTCTATATGAACTGACTATTCGGCTCCATCCGTTGACTCAACGAACCGCATCTGACTGAATTTAATAACAGATGCTGGTGAATGTTCTTAAACAAGATAGGGCACTACCTATTACTAATTATTCACAACAACTACGCGCTATATTCGTACGCGTTGTAGAACATTTTATGTTCCACATCTGGGGATTAAGAGCATACTACAATAAAAATAAATATTTTATAACCGTCAAAGAAGATGTGGCGCACAACACATTACAAAGCGATGATTATAGCGCTCAATTTTTTTTTCTGCTAGCTGAAACAGCAATCGTATCCGACTACGAGCGAATTAACGTTTAACCACTACCACTCGACAGTCAGCAAAGAACGGATACAACAGAATGAGCTCCAATGAAACAAACAACAGTCAGACAATCAGATCTATCCAGCATTTGATCTGTCATTCGCTGCTGCTATATTCGTAGAAATGTCGTAAAAGTTCTCTATGAAACTGGTGATAGAAAACCAAAACGCCACGAAACTCTACCTGCGGCAACAATAACGAGCATCAACTGAACAAAGTCAACATGCCAACAATATTTCCTTGTACCGCCGGTGTAACAGGCGTACTATACTGTGCTAGAAACTATTTTCGAGCAACTAGAAAATCAACGTGAACAGCTATGCAAAAGAGCTTCGTCGGCCTGGTAATGTTGTAAAAGAGGAATATCTTTTGTCTTCATGAACTCTTTACCACAAACCAGTCTCTACCTAAACCATGGGATCATGGCAGACTAATATGATAATCAGATCCTGTATTAAAAAAAAGGTCTTAATGAAATAAGTCTGAAAAAAACAAGAATACTGAATCCCCGTCAACACAACATAGTAGTCTCGTTCTGATTCAACAAGAAAACAAAAACTCAGTGACGACGCAAAAGAAAGTCAGCACCGAAAATTCAGAAATATGATACTGTTGTCTAATCAGTGATTCACATTTTATGGAGGAAATGAAGCAACACTGGATTGAATAGGCTTTAAAATCAACTGTGATTACTCCTAACGGGGAGCGATTTGTCTTCACATAGAAGACGATATCACTCTTCCTCTTTCAAAGCATATCTCAGTAATTAGCACTGGCACACATCTTGCTTCCTTTCTCAATTTCAAGGCGTATAATAGAATTAGAAAAATTTTCGAGCTCGAGATGATTAACCAGAAGTCTATGAGTCATGACTGAAACAACGTTTGTGGATCTCACTTTTCCATTAGAAGCAATCATGGGTTCTAGAGGCGAAAATATTGCTATGACTTGATACGTAAGAAATATAACGATATTTGCGAAAAATTACACCAGTTTGTATACGAATTCATTGAAATAGAAGATTTCCAGTGAGTTAGTAGCAAAGCTACGCGGCGCGCCCGAAACTGGAGGATGAACAATGCTGTACCACAAGCTAGCTTGCTGTTGTACTGAGAATGAAGCAAGAGACGAGTTCCTATTCATGCTATGTTACGTTGACCTGCACTTTCTCTTTATAAGTGATCATACATGCATACGGCTGTGAGTAGGCTTGCACGAATGCCGATTGCTATCCTGCACTTCGGTCTGGTCAAATGTTTACAATTAACATGGAGAAGGTTCCTGGTCTCCCCTTCAGGTAGCCACCAGGTATATACCAAGACAGCTCCGGTAGAACGTTAACTATAGATAGGCATAATGTTTAAAGGAAAAGAAAGTCATTGCAGTTATACTACTTACTTACTTGATACATGAACGGCCCGTCCACACAAATTATGCTGGCCCCAGCATAATCACCATTTTTCGGAGAATTGCTGGCTAAGCCATTGTGGTTCCTTGGAATCCCGAGGTTAATCTGGCCAAAGTTTGCCCCAGGTCTTCACCACTACAGACAGTTGCAGTCTTTGTGGATCAGATAGAGATTGGCCACCATGCGACTTTGACACCAGGACGGCGGTGGATTCTGGTATTCGTTTACTCTTAGCTAGGCTTCCGGATGGAAACGCCGGACTCCTCAGCTTGGGAGACCCTGCCAGGGGATGAATCCCCCGTTGTACATCGCAATCCGACACCCAGGAACACCTCCCAGCCACGATGATGCGGTAAACCGCTGGGAGGCATTGCATTCATCTAATCACTAAATACGATGAAAAACGGCATCATACACGAATTATAGACCCCTTCGAGACAACAACCTCCACGCAAAAAAGAAGGACAGATCCGTGAGCTCCAGACACAGCATGTTTAAGCGGTGAAATCTCGTGTCTTAATTGCAAATATTTGTAGATTTTTTTAAATTTTATTTCATTTCGAAAAATTCTATGAAACCCGAAATGTCTCCTTAAACTACAAAGAAACTATTATTCGCCCACATGTGCGTGGGACAAAGTTTTGTTGTTGAGTTTTAAAAGCTGCGTAAAATCGTATAGAATATGAAGTGATAAATTTTCATAGAGAGAACATTTATATATTCACCAATAAAGACGTTGTTTCTAGTTAAATTTTAAGAAAAGACATTCCTAGAGCGCAAGAATAACGTAAACTAACATGTATACTAAAGAAATACTTACTTCTATGGCAGACCAGTAGGTATAACTTTAATACCGCTGAGCAACTGACCTCCCACAATATGCTGTGCCATAAGTGGATGAGTGCGGTCCGGCAAAATCTTAAACAAACAAATATGGAATACTTAACAAAAGTTTGAATATTTCATTTTCGTAGGGCGCGGGTGGTGCAGTGGTAAGAGGCGCCCTACAACACACACGTGGAATCGATCTCCGCGCCCACGGCCCACCAAACCTTCCATCCCTCCGGGGTCAGCAAGCTGGTACCAGACTTATCTGGGAGGATAGCAGAAGTGATTCGATACATCGGTGAGTCACCGCCAGCCATTGTAAAGGCCAAATATGCATTCAATCACCTCCAACGATGCTTAATGGAGTCGAATGCATGGCGCATCCCTCACGGATTGATCAACACTGAGAGCTTTAACCTTTTAGCTTTATTTCATTTTCATGAAATAATTCCTCAGATTCTTCTAAGTATAGAGCTTCACAACTATTGTAAACAGGTATTGACCACTGTTATTACCTAAGACATTTTTAAACTAGTCACTGAGTAGTGTTCCATATTTAAAACACCTACGGTGATTTCAGAGCAAACACAGTTTTATCCAAACAATTTAAGCAGCTGAATAAGGAAAAGCGATGACTGTGCTAGGAATGTCGTCCAATAATGTATGCAAGTTCCTGGCTCGACACAGCGCCGAGTCAACCAAGGCTCGGGTCATTTTGAAAAAACAGAAACAAATCCTAGGATCGACTTTCTATTAAACTCTGCACTGCATTACAAATGCGTCGTTTTCTTGTTCAGTAATCTGATTACTGAACAAGAAAGCGAAGCGGAACAAAAACAAGTCAATCTAAATTGTTGAGCATGAAATTTTCAAACTTTATTTTTAAAATGTTGAGCCTGAAAAAGTCTATTCTCTTGGTCTCCAATTATTCGAACATTCACAATGATGCTGAGATATTTGCAAAACTTCGGACCGCAGGTGTATGCGGTGGGGGACGAACGCACTATTACCCTTTCCGGGGGCTAACGCGCTCACCACCACACCATGCAAGTCCTTCGTTTCGTCTGTCTCTCGGCTAGTTTTCTATCGATCAGTGCCATTAGCAATCATCTGTCAACGGGATTGATCTGGACAGCCCAAATTGGCCTTGAACCTAAGCACTAAAAACTGAACGATCAATCCCGTTGACCGGTGATTGCTGATGGCTCTGATCGATAGAAAACTAGTTGAGAGACAGGCGAAACGAAGGACCCCTATGGTGTGATGGTGAGCGCATTAGCCGTCGGAAAGGGTAGTGGCGCGTTCGCTCCCCACCGCAAACGTCTACGGTCCGGAGTTTTGCAAATATCTCAGCATCATTGGGGCTGTATTTCGAACAATACCCTGCAATGAAAAATTGTAGCTGATAACAAATAAGAAATAGACATTGTTATTGAAACATCAATTCCTACACGTTGAAAGAAGGAACTAATGACAGTTTCAGTGGACCGCGGTGAAAATGAAGAGGTTTTTAACAGCAATCAAAACATTTCCGAATGACCTAGTAGATGTACTTACGATTAAGTGCGGTATGACACCCTTTACAAAACTAGGATGAAAATGCAAATATTACTGATCTTCAACAATTTGGACGGCTTACCTGTTGTACGCGGAATAATTGATCCGAGAGACGAACATTAATACAGCTGTGTTCCATCAGCCAACGATAAGCATCCAGAATTGGCTAAAAACTCTATGATGACCAGAAAACAACACTAAATCGAAAACAGTCAGTGAAAATATGGACTTATTTAAACCAATAAGAAAGAAAAGAGTGAAATTTTCATACTGAAGCAGTCCATAATCATCAATAATCATGTTGACTCCAACAAAATTCCCAACTGACTGGTATTTTGCCAGTTTGGCACGATTCCCAGCTCCCAAAAATTCAGTGGTGAACGTTCAGGAAGTCATCATACGCAGTCGATTTGGACAAAAAAACCCGCCACCTTGTCAGTAGGTTTTTTCTCAAAGACGATCGCAACTCCCCGCACTGCATTCAACACAACTGGCTTTCCGGATAAAAACGTTAAATGAAAACCTCAGCTTGAAAGAATAAACCAAAGGTTCAACATCTGTTTTTCATCACTGTTAGACACTCTGGAAAACCTCCTAGCGACAAACATGTTAAACTTTTAGGAAGAAATAAAAGGATGATCAAAACATGATTACTGAATAAAACAAGAAGCGGAATAAATCAATTCCTCTACATAACCAATGAATGGTTCAGCACATCATTTCCCTCAATATTTCGACGTATCACCGTAACGAATTGTTTGTGGATGTTAAACCGCAATGTACAGCAGAGTATTAATCTCGCTATCAAGCTCAACCAATGTAAGAAGGAGGTCATCATTTCCATGTGAAACCTATGCTAAAAGCAAAAGCAAAAGTAGGTAACCAATATGCGGAGAAGCTGCTGTTCTTACACAAGTCCTATCTCAAGACAATTAATCTAACGTATGATTAAGCGCCATAAAATCAATCTCATTACTTCGGGCCTTTAATCAGTGCTTCATGAAGTCAGGCAACAGCGATACAATTTCAATTCACGACGGGTGTGTTAGGCTCCAGATCAAAGTAGCCTGTCTACAACACGAGAGACTGTCTATTACTCCGGACCTCGAAAAAACTCTGCTTTCAGATGCCGAACGTACTCTTGAGGAAACCTCAAATTCCACTTAATTGCGCTACACGAGACTAAGATCAAAAACACTAACATAATAAAACAAGCAGTCACAAACAAATTCGCAACTATGAATATTCTTTGATAACTAGACGACTTAGGAACTGAAGATTTAATAAATTTATAGGACACTTCATCGCATCACTCTAACGGTGCAAAAAACTCAAAAAACTTGTTTTTATTTCAACTGGCTTTTAATTAGAACCTTAGAAAAGAATAATAGCACGATAAGCGAAATTTGAATTTTTAACGCAGGCATAACATTTGCCCCATCCAGAATGCACTGTGGGACACTGTTCACCCGCTGGGCGAAATCCCATCAGTTCAATCGCTTCGCTATTGAAGATAATACGCTCGTCAGAAAGCGTCTTGTTAGGCAAAGATAATCAGAACTCCATCTGTTGGAACAACAAAACCTCTATTTCATTAGCAAAAGTCAGCTGATTTTACTGAATTTTTGTTTTAAATTTATGAACCTTACTATGAACTGAGATGTGCTTGTTTAAAGTTGAAAGGACAAATTGTTCGTCAATGTGTTATACTACATTAGTTAAAGATCTTAACATGAAATGTTGGTACTGGAGATTTCGTCGTATACTGATCCACAACAACCTGTCGGCTCACCAGGCCATTCTCACCCATCCATCGTGCAAAAAATTCTCTATCACCAGGGTCTATGTAGCAAAGTGGTGACAGTGTCCTACAACAAACTGGATCGACCACTGGTCATAACCCGCGCTCCGGAGTCACCAGGGTCTCCCCACAGCTTCGCGATCTGCAAATTAGCGGCAGACTGGCCTGGAAGGATAAGAACATCGAGCTTAATACACCAGTATGTTACCACAAGTCATTGTGTAGGCCAAATATTTACTAAACGACCACTAACGATGTTTGATGAATTGGAACGCATGGCGAATCCCTTAGCAACTAATCAACGTCGTAGCTTCCTTTATTCTTTATCATCAACTGTTCTTAGCCAACTTGTGCACCTAATGAAAGCGAACAAGGTGATTTCCATGATTGTTCTCACTCTGAAGAAGGGTATTCCTAGAAATCTTCTTTGAACGCGTCGATAACAGAATAGGAAAGAACAATGGTTGAGAGCACAGGATCGATCAACCTAACCTTTTTTGGGAAAAAAAATCGCTGCTCAATATAGGAAGTATTTTACGGTATTTTAACGGGTATTTATTTTTTTTATTATTTTGCTTTTTTATTTTACCGTATTTTTTTATTTTTACCCTGCCGTTAAAGAAGAATTGGCAGTAAATAAAAAAAGGTTAAGATTGTGATTACAACTCTAGCCTCAGCTTAACTGGGTTCAATGCCGATTTGGGCTCGCCAGATCAATCCCGTTGACGGGTGATTGCTGATGGCAAAAGATCGATAGAACTAGCTGAGAGACAGACGAAACGAAGGACCCGCATGGTGTGGTGATGAACGCGTTACTCCTCGGAAAGGACAATAACGCGTTCGCTCCCCACCGCATGCATACACCTGCGGTCCGGAGTTTTGCAAATATCTCAGCATTATAGAAACTATTTATATTGCTTCAATGATAATCGCAGACACAAAAGTGAATATCGCGTTTGATTATCGTCATGAAAGAAGACGAAATGAAGCTGCAGTACAACCACAAGACCCGTAAAAATTACAAGTATAGGTATCTAAGTAAGTAGAAACTTGGGAAGTTGGACAGCCCGTCCTCACTGGTCCTGTGGATCCTAACATAATCTCAATTTTTCGGAGTTTTGCCGGTTTAGCCATTGCGGTTCCTTTGATACCTGAGGTTAGCCTAGCCAGACTCTGGCCCAAGGTTGTCACAACCACACAGAGTCGACGCCCTTGTGGATGAGAGGAATTCGTCGCCATTCGACTAGATTGATACCAGCACGGTGGTCGACCCTGGTACACTCTTAGCTGGGCTTCCTGGTGGAAATTGTCTATACACCAGACTCCTTCGCAGCTTGGGAAACCTAGCTGGGGGATAGATCCACCGCCATACATCGCAGCCTGACATCCAGAAACACCTCCCAGCCTCCACCAGGCGGTAAACCGTTGAGAAACCAAGCAAGTAGAATTCAACAAAAACACTAAAAAGGAAGAACACGGGAGCAATACTATACTACAGCAGAATTATTTACCTCCATATGCGGTCCGTAAACAACGACAGAACCACACGGGCGTAATTTTTGAAATACTGTCTCCAAAACGGACACTGGATCAACCTAAAACGAGTTCGTAAGAGGACGCTGCATAATAACGCATAAGGTAGTAATCAAAGTTAGTGGGAAATTTGATACTCTGAATGGTGTTAAATTGGCAACACTTTTAAATATGCATTAAAGAGTTTTGCTCAGCCAAAATATTTCAAGAAAAAAGGACATTGTTTAGCAAAGGTCTTACGATTTTCATGCTAAGCTTCAAACCCAAACGCATTGCTCACAAATTTTCAATACATATGAATTTTGCAGGTAAATAAAACCTATACAATATCAGTTACTTCTTCAGAATTCGTCAACAGTTTCAAACACATGACCGGCACTTCGCATAAGAACTCCTTTCAAGTGATACGGATTTGAAATATAAAACTATCAAAACCACAAAGGGCAATGAGAACATCATGGTGGAAGAAAGCTCGAAAAACAATTTCTTGTCACCTTGCAATAGAGTTGCTATAATCAGAAATACAAAAAGCCACAGGAATATTAAACATCTTTAAACCTCACCGTTCTTGTTGCTATAATTAGTGCATCAACACCTACTTCTAGTTGAGCTAATCCACGTGCTTCTCGAGCCAAACGGTCAGCTCTTCGCGAAACGGATGAGTCCTCTATTGTCTAAGTAATGAAAAAGTTGTTACGAAAGACTCGGTGGGTCGTTTTCCTGTTCAGCAATCGCAAGGTTGTTATACAGCGTACATTTGCTTCCATACAAAAACACTGAGGGAGGACAAAACAGCTGATTAGAGTCTATGGTTGACGACTGCACCACCCCACATCAAAAATCGATGCGAAAATCGACGATCGAAGATATGCTACTCTAATCAGCTGTTCTTCCACAATGGAAGGCACGTAAGAACAGCCCTAAAGAATGCGACACTGCCAAAATGCCAGCAAGTGCTGTGTTGTATGTGTTTTTGTATGGAAGTAAACACATCCTGTAAAACAACCTTGCGATTGCTGAACAAAATAACGAAGAATTTATAATCCAGTGCCAAGGTTAATAGAAAGTCGATCCTGAAAATTGTTACAACGACAGTATTTTTCATTGCACATACCTCATTATCCTCAACTACAACTTTCTCGTCTTTATTCGCAGAAGGACACTCATTCTTTTGCTCATCCAACTGTGTTGCGTTCCCAAGGACTGATGCAATACGAACCGGCAAAAAAGTCGAGAAAATCTGTAATGGATGGAATACCGCAAAAGATAAATACTGCGCAAACAAGAAAAATATGGAAGAAACTGAAGAAAATGTTGGAAAAAACCTAAATGGTACTCAGACGATTTAGAGCAACACTGTAAGCCCCCACCCTACGGACAATATAATCCACAACACTGAAAAAAAACCCATTAAGAAATACCTTTTCGCTGAAGTCCATACAATGTACGCATGGTATAGACTGAGCTATGATTCCGCGATGTAGATGAATACAAGAACCATCTCCTCCAAGTCTATCGATGACTGCGGCGGAAACCACCCCTAATACCTGAAGAAGAACTCTTTAAGTTTACGAAAATTTCTGAAGGTTGCTCATCACAAAAGTACAAATGTTCACATTTTAGGATACTTAGCATGAAATCGGAATAAAAAACTTACCTGGTCAAAGACGAGAACATTTTTCCCGTGATGGACTCCAGCCAATTGCAAAATCATGCCTAATTGATCCACCCTTAAAATTCTGCTACTAAGCAATAGAACAAGTGGATTCCGAGATGTTATAGATAAAGAATAACATAAACTTAAAAATGAACCTTAAGTTGGAAACGCGGATACAGTCCTTAATGTAGTAAGAACAAGCAAGAAGGCGTATTGTAGGCTTCAAAATAAGCACCCTGAAGGTTTGAATGGATTTTTCAAGTGCGAAAACCTGTCAATCAGAAGATGCTTAAAACAAGCCTGTCGGAATGCTTCTTTGTTTTTCGCCTTATATATTTGTTCTTGCTATATTCCGTTCGAGTACTGAATGATTTGCTACCTTCCACTAACTTCGACACCTAAGCAAATAACACGAGGTACAGTAAGTAAAGACCACTTTTCAAAAATACCCAATTTAGAGCTTAATATAATTACCAATTCGCTCGCTTTAATACCTCGACCTTTCAAATTAAGCACGTCCTCTTGACTAAGCCTCTGAAGTTCCTTAACGGTAAGTACAAAAGCTTATCAAAATAAACACGATAAGGCTTTAAGACGTACTTGGGCTGGGTTCTGTAACTGACTCCATTTTACCGGCATAGTTGATTCGCTATCAGCACTCCCATTGCTGTTAACATCAAGGGATTCTAAAGTGGGAGCTAGAAAACAAGGAAATCCGGGATGGAATCAAGTGAAAATAATAACCAACTAAGGGAAACTAGCCTATGTCCCCTACACCTTCTTCTCGATCTATTCGTGAAGCACACACTGGCATAGCTTTACCGGACGATACCTCAAAGAGACCATACGGATGCCCAAAAACGCTGCAATAAAAAAGTTCGCTAGATAAAGAAAATGTTCTGAAATAAAGATATCAGCAAAAAGAATCATCAAAAAAAATTCAGAAGAATCAAATTCAAGGAAGTTCTGACCAACTTTCTTGAACGCCACAAATGGTAGAGTGGAGCCTAAGTACAATAATAAACGATTTTGGCTTAACCAATAATATCGCAAGTTTTAAAGTGACATGAAAACGCTTTGAAGATCACAGTATTACTGAAGGTTTACAAGAACTCGAAAAAAGTACAACTGCTACTACAACGATGCTGAGATATTCGCAAAACTTGGACCCGAGACCAGATCGAACCACGATTTCCTTTCCCGGGGGTTCGTGTATTACATACTTCATCACGGCCTTGCTTTGCCTTTGTCTCAACTAATTTTCTACCTAACGCTGCCATCTGCAATCATTCGTCAGCGGGATTGATCTGGGGAGCACAAATCCAGGCCCCAGTGGTGTAGTGTGTAAAGCGTGAACCGCCGAAATGGGTAATCGTGGTTCGGTCTGGCCAGGTGTCCAAGTTTCGCGAATATCTCAGCAACGTTGTGTTTGTATTTCACATTATACTCTGCACTGAAAAAATATAGAATGTAGGATATAAAAAGTTGACAAAGCACAACTAGTCTATAACTCCAAATGTTTCGAAGGTCCATTCCACTCGTCACTCACTCCTTCACTAAGTCAAAATCTTAAACCATTCTTTTAAAGATCTTTCTAAACTATGTAAGTTTTAAATCCCCAAGCGTATTCGTGTCAAAAGTTCATGAATCCAGTAGTCTTGTCTTTGTCAAACTGACTGTAGTGTATAAATAACACATTAGTCACTTCTTCTTTTCGTTATTTCCACAACATACAGCAGAAACAGGAGCGCGTGTAGCGCAGTGGTTAGAAGCGCCCAGAGATAAAAATAGGATCCATCTTGCGCCTTAGGCCCACCAAGCCCTCCATCCCTTCGGGGCAAGCAAATTGGTACCAGACTTGTCCGGGACGATAGCAGCATTAGCTCGATACATCAGTACGCCGTCGTGAGTCATTGCAAAGGCCAGATATGCATAAAATCACCTCTAAGTCTAATGGACTGCGCATACCTCAGGGATCGATCAACAGGGAGAGCTTTATCCTTCTCTTTATTACAGCAGAAACCAACATATGACTCGGATCAAGTTACTTCGTTAGAGATATAGATTTAGGCCTTAAAAAGAAACATAGCAAAATATTGGTTTCTTAAAAGGAAAAGTCTAAGGTCATCAGTGGTAGAAAGACGACATCTCACCTCTCAGCATCGAACTTGAGCTTTTCGATGAGTACTTTCTGTTTAGATGCTAGTCGCATGACACGAATATGTTCTCCACCGACTTTCTGAACAACTACATAGTCTCCTTCCTTAATAGTACTGAAGTGCGTCGATGCACGTTCATTCATACCACTGAAAAAGCTCTCGTTGATAAATAGAGTGAGAACAGCACTTGTACCGACACCGGCAGTACTTTTAAGTTACCACAAAGTTGTCAGCAACTTATAAATCTAAAATTTAACGAAATCACTGTAAAGTATTACCTTTAGAAACTATTCACTTACATTCACATAAGAAAGTCTGGTTGAAGTGCAGATTACGGATTTTCAATGCTACCGTATCATCTCGTGCGTGGCATTCGCGGGGCATGAAGTGACATATGTTGGGGGCTGGGTTTCCTGAGTTTCTGGACCTGAGGTCGAGCGTTATTTCTACTTTTTTCTCATTGATTACTTGTTATTCACCTAATTAGTTAGTAAACTAATCGACACATGAAGTGTTAGTAGGCCTGGGAGTCATCATTCTCGTCGTCAGTGATGTGTTCGAACAAACGACGACATTTTCGTTGGTGTTGTTGTTGTTGTCTCTTATTATTTTTCATCATTGTTGAGCTCGTTGTTACTTCGCAATTATCGTTATGTTGTTATGCTGTTCTTATATATTTTTCTTTGGATTCGGTAGAAATTTTCGGAAAAAAGAAGTCTTACAGAACTTTTGTCTTGTAGGACTCCTAGTTTTAAACTCTTAAAAAATCTTACAAAACAAACGAAGGTTACTTAAAGGCTTGCCTTAAATCAATTGCTGGAAAGTTAAAATCATGTGAATCATCGTAGTTTATAGCAAAACTCTGAATTGATCTACTTTTTCCGTCGAAATCTTCACTATTCGGTAGCTCCTGTCAGCGATTTGAACTTTTAGGGATAAAGTCCTTTGAGACCATGTCGATTTGTCTAATCCTGTGTAATATTTGTGCAGTAGGCTCCTTAGTAGGTAGAAAAGACTTTATTTATTAAGCTTTTCCTGCGTGGTTTGTTTTAAATCCGCTTTTATTGCCCGTTATAAGTGTAGCTTTTTGTTCGGTTCATTGGCTGTGGGCTTCAAGAGGAAAGAACATTTTTTTTGCTAAGTTTTAATGTAATATTAATGTAATATAGCATTAGTATACACTAACTTGTTTTGAATTTGCAAGAGGACTATATATTACAGGTGCTATGACCACACGACTCCATTCCATCATCATATTGTTGGGATTATTTTCGATCGAACAAGGGTTTTATGTGCCAGGTGTAGCTCCCGTTGAGTTTCGAATCGGTGATTCAATTGAAGTAAAGGTTAGCGTGGTACTGCTTCCATTTAACTTATACGAGGATAAGAGGATAAAGCTCGGCGTTGACCAATCCTTGCGTAATTCGCCATGCACTCGACTTCATTAAGAGCATGGTTGGAGGTGACCGAATGCATATCTGGCCTTTACAATAACTCACGACGGCCATCCGATGTATCGACCCAGTGCTGCTATTCTCGCACACAAGTCTGGTACCAATTTGCCGACCCCAGAAGGATGGAGGGCTTGGTGAGCCTGGTGATCGATCCCATGTGTACTGCGGTGCGCCTTCGACCACTGCGCTACACACGCTCTCTATTGCTGTGGAAACCAATGGTAAATTAATTGTTAAACCACGGCATTATTTCAGAAGGGTCTCTAGCATCGTACTATATAATTCCAACTACTTGGCGTTCATCACAACATGCCAGTATTTTAAAACTAAATTATTGAAACCGCATTTTATGTAGGGATTTTATACGAAACTAGTTACTTTGAAACAGTGAGATGAACCAGTAGCTGTTTTCTCGCCGGGTGTTTATCTTCTTTCTATTTTAGGCTATTAAACTAACGAGCACAAAAACTATTGTTCCATATGAATACTACTATCTTCCGTTTTGTCGCCCTGATGGAGATTTGCTGTACAAATCGGAGAATCTTGGCGAAGTAATGCGCGGAGATCGTATCGTGAATACCCCGTACCAGGTTAGATTATCAGACAGGGAACGTCTTATCTTGCAAGGAGTTTGTTCTTTTAGTTATTTATGAAGAAAAATGTGGCTTGTGCTTCGGCTTGTACGAAAAACGAACCGGTAGTAGTGACTGCTTCAGCAGCTAAGCGGATGATGGATCGAATCAAGGAAGATTATCATGCTCACCTGTGAGTGGTTTTCTTCGATATTTAGTTTAAGATTCATCACGAAATTATGTTATTGCTCAAACAGTTGTGTTTTCTTATGTAAGAGTTGAAGGATGTTTAATTTCTATACTAGGTTGGTCGATAATTTACCGTCTGCTACGAAATACGAGATTCCAAAAACAGGAGAAGTATTCTATGATCTTGGATACAAAATCGGATGGGTTGATGAAGATGGAAAGGTAAATTCTCATTACGGAAGAGGTACTGAGTTAGTTATCGAGTTGGAGTTATTGATCACTCCTAGATACGTATTGTAACATTGGTGTGCAGGGCACCAGACATTTTAACAGGTAACTAATAGTAGTCATTTCAGATGTTATAACACTCTTCGTAAAAGATGAAATGACTCAAAATTCAGGATGACAAAAATAAGAGCATAGTTTTTAAGCTAGAACAACCAACCACTCTACCACAGAGGGTTTTTGCCGTTACACCTGTTGAAGTCTGCCGTATGTTTTTTCAGTGTTTCTTTTAAAGGTCTTCCTCAACAATCATTTGGACATTGTGATGTTATATCATGAACACATGCCTGGATTATACCGTGTTGTAGGGTTTGAAGTGAAACCACGTTCAGTGAAGTCCGTCACATTTAATAAACAGGTTGTTCTCATGTTTTATTTTTGTTAACATGATTCGGTGCGGCTCTTTATTGTTTTATAGTTATAGGAATGTAATGAAGTCGACAAAGATGTGAACCTCTATGAGTTGAAAGAAGAGGACCAGAAAATTTATTGGACGTACAGTGTCACGTGGGAACCAAGTGATGTAAGATAATTTTCCTGCTTGCAAGTTCTTTAATTCATCCTAGTTCTTGCATCAAATCAAGCTGTAGCCAAAACACTTTATGAGAAACTGAAAGTTTAGAGGTCAAATTTAATTCAAACCGTAGCATTGGTTAGAAAGTAACATCTTTTTATAGAGTAGATTAGCGAGTGTCTCTTTTCACTTTGTTCATTTCGTGAGGCATCCAATTGTGGTGTCCCTTCTGGCCTTCCAGTTCAGGCTTCGGATCTATTGTTTTACCCACCGTTGTGCTACTGCAAACTGTTTTATCACAGAGATTGAAGCCATTGCGCATGGATCGATCTGCTTCAGTCAACGTTTTTAGGAAGATGTCATCGATGACAGCGGCTTGACCCCAAACCCCCTTTTATCCCGAGCGATCATCTTCATCACGGAGCTTTTGAACAACTTTTCACCCTACCCATGACAACGATGCTTTGGCCAAATACTAAGTGTGTTATGCTAATCGTTTCTGCGGTCTTACTTCCATGTTTAAATTCGTTCGAAAGGTGGTTTAAACGTGTTTTTCACTTTTTAATCCAATATACACAAGCCACACGTAGATGAACCCTAAGATAAAAAAATCAGTGTGGTGAGAAATTTCCTCATTTTCGCACTAGTGCAGAGGTGAGGCATATATGATGCATCTTCAGTTTTCTTCATCTGCAGTTCATTGGCTGGTATTTTGACTAGCAGTTGATTGTTATTTTAATCCCCCTTGTTATGATAAATAAACGTTTCCAGATGCATAAAGCAAACAGTCGATGAGCTACAATAATGCCTAGGAAGTAGTAGCATTGATCCCATTCATGCCAACTGATCGATAGAGCAAAGTCTTTTCCACAACATTGTTAGGTGGTCATATCCGATTCCTCCTTTCATGGAATATCCAGAAAATCCATAAAGACATGAAATTAGGTGTCGCCTATTTTCCTCTTACACAAAATTAGGCGTCGCCACCAGATAATAGGAAAACTGTATGAATGCTATATTCTGTGAATGTAAGAGCCGTGGTCAATATTTTAAAGCAGAGTGTTACAGATTGAAACAGACTAGCGACAGCAAAGGCGCTCATTGTCGATCGTTCAATTTCTTTTTTAGATTCCATGGGCAAGTCGATGGGACGTGTACTTGTCCGTGAAAGCCGTCGATATTCACTGGTTTAGCATCCTCAATTCGATTGTCGTTGTATTTTCTCTTAGCGGTGTGTGCCACTACATTTCGTAAATTAGAAATATGTAATCTATTTATAGATCATTAGGTTTCTTGAGTGTTTCTATTGTACGGGCGGTTCGACGAGACATTGCACACTACAATAAGGATGAGGCGGAGGTATGGTCTAATGGAACTTTGTTGTATAAAGTGCCATTTGGAAAATAGGAATGTTCTATTACTACTTCAACAATTTGTGTTCATCGTCATGCTTCTATCCTATCTAGAAACACAATCCTGTTTTGCACTTCCTTACTTTTGCAGAGGAATAATTTTAGGATGATACTCTAGAGGAGACAGGTTGGAAGCTCGTTCATGGTGATGTCTTTCGCCCACCTCCGCACCAAATGATCCTTGTCAATATGGTGGGTACTGGCATTCAACTACTTGGAATGGTTGGAATCGTTGTTTGTGAGTTGCCGTTTAGGTTCATTTCTTTTGTTTAATTTCCAAGATCAACGTAAAGTCGCCTTTTCGCCTTTTTTGTCTTCTTTGAAGAAATCGCATTTCTATAGTCTTTGCTATGCTGGGGATGCTTTCACCTGCTAGTCGTGGTTCGCTTATGTCCGCAGCTGTATTCTTATTCTGTTTCATGGGTCTTGTTAGCGGTTACCAAGCTGGCCGCCTCTATAAGACGTTGAAAGGGCGCAATCCTATTCGTTGCGCTATTCAGGTTGAACTCTTTTATCGTCCCTCATTTTCTAGTTTCATGGAAGCAGATTCGTGCGGTTTCAGACTGGAACTTTATTTCCTACTCTTATTCTTGGAAGCGGATTTGTGCTAAACTTTTTCTTAATCGTCAAACAGTCCTCTGGAGCTGTGAGTTTTTTATTCTCTGGAATATTTCGTGTACTTTTGCTGTTTTAACGGAACATACTGTTAACATTTCTCTAAAACTTCCGTTAAGATTCCGTTCGGCACAATGATAGCACTGTTGTTAATGTGGTTCGGAATCGATTTACCATTGGTATTTCTTGGATTCTACTTTGGATATCGAAAGCAGGTAATGCATGAATTTATATTTTACCAGTTTCTCTACTATTGATGAATTTCGCCGGAGCACGGAATAGAGCAGGTAGTTCGTCCAAATCAACATCAACGTGAATTAGTTTAGGTAGATTCTCAAATTCTGGTTGTGTCAAGATTGAAGAGTAGAAGTGCCTATACTAAGTACCTAGACACTTAAGTGGCCTACAGTTACGCAAGTCTTGGCGCCCAACGCGTTTTCCGTTAGTTGTATCATCTCACGTTCTCCTAACCGTCATCCACGAATGTGATCGGATTCATGTACTATTTCGGTTACAGATGAAGAGACGAAGTTTTCTCTTTTCATTGACATGTCCAATAATTGGCTGAATGTGGCTTTTCCTGAAATTCCAAGATAACCGTAACAAGTTGTTCCATCCCCAAGTCCTTATCACGGGAAATCGCAGGAGTTTGGATAAGAGGGGTGGACTGTTGCCTTACGGCAAAGGCTCCTATGTTGTAGAGAAATCTGCTTAACGGCGGCGATTTCTGCGTTAAGTCAACCAAGGGATCGACAACGGTGCGACAGGCCTAATTTACCTTTAAACACTAAAGTAAAATTTTGGCGAATGTTCCTATTAATACTTAAGGTGTTGTTTAAACTCTTCTATAGAATTAGAAATTTTAGTTTAGGGAGCAACAAGTGAGCTCATAAAGCTCCTAGAATGTTAAATACTTAAACGATTTTTGCTGCACTTGGCACAATATTTTGTAACACTTCCACGGTTTCTTTTTTCCTTCACTTCATGTACCACTGGTACTGTGAAGAGAATTCTGTTTTATAACCTTGAAGCGTTGTTATGTTAGTGAAAGAAGGACGAGGTGACAATAAATAAATAATAAAGTTTACGGAGAAACATTACTGTGTAGCAATTTCTTCTGCGTCCTAACTAGGTGTGCCGTGTTCTTCGGATCACTATGTACCACAGACGTGTTTCTGATCATAGATGTTCAGCCAATTTCTAAATGAATATTGAGCAACTCTCTATAATAAGTTTTTATTACATGTAATATCCTTGTTTTTTTAGCCATATACCCATCCTGTACGTACCAATCAAATTCCACGACAAGTACCCGACCAGCCGTGGTATCTTCAGACGATTCCATGCACATTACTCGCAGGGATATTGCCGTTTGGTGCCATGTTTATTGAGCTGTTCTTCATTTTCTCGGTTTGTTTCGTCTTTCGGATTTCTCACTGTTAGTAGGCAACTTTCCCGTTTATGACGGTCTTTCATGATTCTGAATAAGTTTATTAAAAAACACCTGCAGGCGATTTGGGAAAATCAGTTTTACTACTTATTCGGTTTCCTGTTCATTGTTTCTTTGATACTTGTCATCAGTACAGCTCAGATCTCGATTGTAGCAACGTACTTCATGTTGTGTGCTGAGGTATGTATGTTCACGGTGTATACATAATGTTTGGCTTGCAAACATGTCGGTGTACTACTGAATCAGTTGTTTTTTTTTGTTCAGAACTATCGTTGGTGGTGGAAGTCCTTCATTGTTAGTGGCGGCTCAGCAGTTTACGGTATGCCAATTTTCTAAATCTTCACTTTACCTGATGCGCTAAGACTTCACTTGTCTTCGTTCAATTTTTATTGTTTGTCCCTTTTTGCGTTTAATTAAGCATTCTAAAGTGGTGCGAACATTCATTCGGATTATAAGACAATCTGGGTTTTACTGACTTAAGATTCCGCGATAGATGAAGAGCACTTTGTAAAATTAAGGCGGGAACTCTTTAAGAGAAGAAGTATGTTATGTCTCTGGAAAAGCTGAACGCTGACTGTTTTTATCATATGAAGAGAATATGTCTCCGCAAGAAATGATTTCTAACGTTTCAATGTACTTGTTAGCTGCTCTGATTTTTAATCGTCAGTTTACGTGAAAACTCCGTATTCCATCATTCATCTGCCTGATGTTTATAGTATTTTTTAAGCCGAACCTAGATGTGTACATAGGATTGGAAGAACATTATATACGCAATGTCTTCTTTGGTTTGCAATGTGTGTATGGATAAAAGCAGTAGGGGAATGAAACGTTGGCAGACTGATTTCAGCATTAATTTGAATTAATGTATTAATTTAAAAACGCTATCATTTTGTAAGTACTTGATTGCTTTCTTAACTTTTAGTGCAGGTGTCCTCCGGCATCTGTTGTTTGCCGATAATGGTTGTGCTGCTTTAGTTGTGCCATTTGCCATGCCTCATGCTGGAATCGAACCAATGACCTTCTGTTTACTAGACTGAAGCTCTGCCCTTAAGCCAGTGAGTCTTGTGACTGCCTGCTTCACCACGGTTTACCGCCATCGTGGTCGGGAGGTGTTCCTGGGTGTCGGGCTGCGATGTACAAGGAGGAGGATTCATCTCTGTAGGGTCTCCCAAGCTGAGGAGTCCGGTGTTTCCATCAGGAAAGCCAGCTAATAATAAACCAATACCAGAATCCGCTATCGTCTTGGTATCAAACTAGTCGCATGGTGCCAAACCTCCCCAAGGGCGACGACTACCTGTGGTGGTGACGACCTGGAGCAGACGTTGACCTAGCTGATCTCGGGATTCTAGGCAACCACAATAGCTGAAGGATAAAGGATAAAACTCTCAGAGTCGATCAATCCCTGAGGCATGCGCCATGCATTCGACTTCATTAAGCATTGTTTGAGGTGACTGAATGAATACAAGGCTTTACAATGACTCGCGGTGGCCTACCGATGTATCGAGCTAGTGCTACTATCCTCCCATGCAATTCTGGTACCAATTTGCCGACACCGGAAGGATGGGAGGCTTTGTAAGGAAGAGTTAGGTGCGGAGAGGAGTGTCATTTCGGATTGTGTAGTTGAGTTTGCCACGCGAGTCTTTTAGATGTTACAACCCACTATGTCAAAGCTGGTCGATCAGCACAAAATCTGAAAGACCCGGGTGGCAAACTCAGCTAAAAATCCGAAATAGTCGTCTCCGCACCTAACTCTTCCTTACAGGCTTGGTGAACCACGCGCGCGTGGATCGACCCATGTGTCTATTGCAGGGCGCCTCCGACCACTGCGTCACACGCGCCCTACCGCAATGGCTAAACCAGCAAAACTCGGAAACAGTGGAAATTATGCTGGGACCGGCGCAACCTGTGAGGACGGACCATCCAAGTATCAAGTATTTGCTGTGCGATAACAAGAACGTACAACCAAAATATCCGCGATGATAAATATTGGTCCCAACGCATTTTAAGTTGTTTCTTTTGCTTCAAAGATGTTTCTTGCCATACTTTTTGGTATTCAGTCGATACCTTTTGTAGATGACCACAGGTGATGACAGAGGTCGACCAAGAAACACTATTTTACACATTTAATTAATTTCCGGAGACTTTTTCGAACGACTTTGCTCGTTCTATCACAGTAACTGTTGCTGATGTGAAAATAGTGAAGTTTTTGCGCTGGCGCAAGAACCACATTCGAAGAAGTTATTAAGACGTCTGTAAACGGTGCGCATTGAATTCAATGCACGCTCCATGCGACGAAGAATAAGCTGTCATTCCACCTAACCGTAACTTAAAATTCGGTGTTGTTGCAAATATGTTCGTTTCTAGACCTTAGCGTATTATACCAGTCGATTTTAAAGTTCTTTTTGCAAAGTTACAATCTCTGGTGGTATACCGGACTGTTGTACAATTTCAGTGATGGCTTATTCAATATTCTACTACAACACAAAGCTAGATATCGAGGGCTTCGTGCCGACCGTGCTGTATTTCAGTTATTCAGCTCTAATGGCGGTTACATTTTGGTTCCTTACCGGTACAATTGGATTCTACGCATCGTATGCATTCTTGCGACGTATTTATGCCGCAGTTAAAATTGATTAGTTGGTGAATACAAGAGTGGTTCTCTTGTATTCTTTATCACTCTCTATTTCCTAACTCTTATTCCTGGCTTTATGTCGTCCTGAATTTCATTTCATGACGAAGTCGATTTTGTCTGAGAAGTCACTGATCATCTTTGAAGTATAGTGAGACGTTATTCTGACGAATATTATCAAGGTTATTCATATTTCCAATACATACTACGCTTCTCTTAGGCGAATCCTTGAGTTATCAAGTTTCTTAGAGATTTCTCAACGGTTTTCATGTTAAGCTATGACGTTAACTTTGAAGTCTTAAGCTCTTTGAGGGTTCCAGATTTTCCATTGTCATTTACCGTTGGGTATTAGATAAGCTTTCCTCACTGCCAGTTATATCCATTTTTCAAATGGCAGTTTTTGGTTTTTGTTCCACAAGGCCATTCCGTTCAGTAGTTCCTCTTGTGCTGTTCAGGTGGTACTTTTTTCAGTCCAATGTTTTTAAAGTAGTGTAGAGCCGCGATTTATATCAAGAGAGTACTTGTTGCGATTGGGTGTCCTAGCTATTACTGTATCTATAAATCAATTAATATGTACTTTTTTATCATTGAAACATAGAGTGGAAAGTCTGTACTGTGTATTGGAATGTTCTTTTCTGGGCGATCTTTCGCCAGTGGTCTTCGTGGAAGTGGTTGTGCGATTTGTTCGGCTTTGCACATTGTTGAGTTCGTTTCTGCTTAGAAAAAAATTCTCCACAGTAATTGTTCGTTTTAGTTTTTCTGGCCTTGATTCCAAATTTGAGTACTTAATCGTGATTTGTGGAGCATTTCGAATTCTGTTTTGGAGAAATCTTGTTATGTTTCTGAACAGTACTATTTTCTGCCTAGCGCCACAAGTGGAGCTTACGATTGGTGTGGGGGCCCACTGTTGAGTTCTCATTCATTCAACGCTGACTGTGTATAACTGTGACGTTTTCCATGTGACTGTCTAGAGATGGATTCACACTTTAGTCATTTTCCATGTGCGATTTTTATGCATTATATCCCTTTTATACATAGTTGATTAAATTTTGGTATTTATAATAAAATACTGTTTAGGATTTATGATTTGTTGGCCAATAAGGCAGTTTCTATCCATGGTTTCTTTGCTTACACACAGAAGGTGTAAATAGTGTAAGTACATTCATGATGAGTTCGATAAAATCTTGTTTTTGCATTGAAAGTGTCGAAGGAGATAACAATCATGTCGTCACGCTATGGGCGGTGGTTGAATGTGATCGAAGTGGTCGAAGTGGAAATGGAGTAGGTAGGAAGGAAGAGGAGGTTGCTTACTCGCAACATTCGGTATGTCTCAACATGGCTGTGAAGAAGTGCTTGATGACACACGTTTGGCAGATGCACTGAAAGCACGGTTGGTAAGAGAATTCTATGAAATCTAGTTGTATATTTTGACCACCGATTTATTTTTCATACAAGAATTGTTCTAACCGCAGAAATTTTTTGCGGCTAGAAGAGTTTAGCAGATAAATTTAATGGTCGTAGTGGCAGTTGTTCTGGATTCAACACTCATGTGTTCGACGGTCGTATGTTTTAGATCATAAAGATACAAAATTCGGTGTCTTCTTAGTTTTTGGTTTTTATGAGGTCTGCTAGTGTTTTCTACGCTGACATTGCTCCGTGATTGATATAAGAGGAAGGGTTTTAGGCTTCTCCTTATGATGGGCGGTCTCATTGGTCTACATCGATTGTACCTCGATCAGATACCAGAAGCTTTCATTTTTATCTCTACAGGAGGAGTTTTCCTATTAGGTTGTTCACCATTTATTATGTTTACTTATTTGTTTACTAATTCTTCAAAAATGTCCGTTTTTGCCCTTCTTTCACTTTAGGAATCGTGTACGATAGCTTTTATATTAGTAAATATGTTGATTTCTATAATATGAGGAAATTGGGTGAAATTGAAGAAGTGAAAAAGTACAAGTGAGTTTTAACTATATTCGCATTTGGAGATATTGAGATAATTCATTATCCTGTTCTATTCAGGAATGGGAAGCTGCTAACGAACCTTTCTAGAATGGTTCCTTTTTCTTTCTTGAAATTCGTTGCCTCCGTTGTTTATGCTGTATGGCTTGGTTAGTAACATTTGAAGTAAAATAGAATAAAAGTAAGATAAAAGTGTAAGAATACCTTAAAACATAAAGCGAATAAAATAGTGGCGTTGTTCAGCTTTTTATTTCCTGTCTATTGCTTTTTCATGACATGATGTTACGTGAAATACAACCACAAAATTGCTGAGATTTTTTCGGAGCTCAGAACTACAAGCTAACTTTGAGGCACGTTTGCCTTTTCCACGGGTTCTCGTGTTAGCTACTGCATCATAGAGTCTCTTGCTTTACTTTCTCTTGGTTAGTTTTTTATCGTGACTTCAGCCCACCTGGGTCCAGTGCCGATTTGTGCTCCAATGTTTATTCCTGTTGACGAGCGACCCATGAATTCCTCGCTTAGAGTAAAGAAAAACAAGCTAAAAGGAAGGCAAAACAAGGGCATCGGTAGTCCATTGGGTAGCACGTGGAACCTAGAAGAGTAATCGATGGTTCAACGTTAGCGAGGGGTTCCGTGTTTTGCAAATAAAATAGTGATAAACTCTGAAGTGGTGTACAAAATACTCACTACTTTGTAACATACTTGCTTAGTTGAACTTGAACGGCCCGTCATCACTAGTGTGGGCCTCTGCGTAATCACCATTTTTCGGAGATTTGCTGGCTAAGCCATTGTGGTTTCCTGGAATCCAGAGGTCAACCTGGCCAAATTATGCTTTAGGTCTTCACCACCACAGGCAGTTGCAGCCCTTGTGGATCAGAGGGAGATTTACTACCATGCGATTTTGATACCAAGATGGTGGTGGATCCTGGTATTGGTTTACTCTTAGCTAGGCTTCCTGATGAATACACCGAACTCCTTCTCAGCTTGGGAGACTCTGCCGGGAGGACGAATTCCCCGCTGTATATCACAGTCCGACACCCACGAACACCTTCCAGCCACGATGAGGCGGTAAACCGTTGGTAGGATACTACTTTATAACTTAGGTGTAGATTTCATCTACTGAATGAATTGCGTGAGTATGCCACGAACAATAAAAGTGATATCAAGGCTATAATGGTAGCCAAGTGCAGGTAAAACTTCACTTACTGTTTGTTAGGGAAAATCATTAAGGTTTTCTGTGTTGGATTGCTGGTAGTGTTACGTTCAGTCGAGCATCAAGTGATAATCTGCTCATGGTTTCTGCTTTAGCAGCTGCTGTAACAACTGGTACACACTTTTGATAGCTTTTTTACCAAGAACCAAATTTCACCCGTTCTTTTACATCGATAAAATTACAGTTAGGTATAACCCCATTTTAGGCGTATATATAGTTGGAAACTGTGGCAGAGAGACTAGAAATATTATTTATATGTGGATCGGTAGCTTCTCGAGTACATTTATTTATGTAGGTAACCTCGTTTGTTGATCGCAGATTAATTGTTTATTTATGGATTTTGTAGACGTCATAAAAAATATGTTTGTGTTCCTTTCAGCTACGCTTCATAGAGGAGCGTTTTATACGCGCAATTCCGTTTGCTGCAGTTGTCTCGACATGGCTCGGCAATAGAACAGCGAGGATTCGAACTCCACTAAATCGTCCATTTACATGGAAACATTTACTGGTAAAACTGATAACAGTTCATACGTTAATAGGCGATCTATAACACAATGTCGTTGGTTTAACTCTGCTTTCATATTTCTCAATCGAACATTTCTCGTTCGTAGAAGAAAAACAAACAAAAGGCAAAACAATGATCTGTGCATGGACTAGCTTTCTTCTTTGTTCATGATATAGTGCCGTATCCTACACTGAAGAATCAATGAGAAAATGAGCGGATAGAAGGAGCAAGTTCTCTCAAAAAAAAAAAAAAAAATAGTGGTAGATACTAATGGTTGTTTATATTTCACAACAAGCAATGTTACCGACTATTTTGATACAGTTAGCATTTTAGAATTTGTAAAAGCTTAAGAAACAATTTTAATATGCCAACTTTCTGCATATAGGTAAATTACGTATATACGTCCGTCTCTTTCTCTCTCTCTCTCTCTGGATATACATGTAGCTGCAAATGCATATGTATATATATATGTATATGCATATATATATATATATATATATATATATATTTATCATCCCAATGGTTTACTGCCTCGTCGTTGCTGGGAGGTGTTCCTGGGTGTCGGACTGTGATATACAGCGGGAGGATTCGTCCTCCGATAGGGTCTCCCTAGCTAAGAAGGAGTCCTGCTTTTCCATCAAGATGTCTAGCTAAGAGTAAATCAATACCAAGATCCACCACCGTCCTGGTATCAAAGTCCCATGGTGGCAAATCTCTGATCCACAAGAGCTGCGACTTCCTGTCGTAGTGACGACCTGGCGCAGACTTTGGCCAGGCTGTCCTCGGGATTCCAGGGAATCAGAATGCCCTAACCACCAAGTCCCCGAGATATGGTAATTGTGCTGGAGTCCGCACAACTAGTGAGGAAGGGTCGTTCAAGTATCAATTATGAAGTATATATATATATATATATATTTATATACGTATATATATATATGTATGTATGTATATATATGTATGCAGAGAAAGCTTTCAGTGTGCACGAGTGCTGTATGTGAGCGTAACCTGAATTCCAAGCGCTGTTATCTAAACATAAATATGTAAATAATCGAATACTAATTTTGTGACGAGCAACAGTTTTAAAATGGTGCCGAAACCAGAACTCTACAAAAATAAATACTTAGGCCATTGTCTCAAGTACTCATTTGCGCTGCTTACGAACTAGTTATTCTATCACTATTCCACTACATATCTTTGAATGCTACTCTTTAAGTGGCTTGGCCTTATGTATAGAATCTGTATGGTCAAGTTCTCCGAGAGCATATTTTTACTAGGTTCACTTCGAAACATCGGTTCCTGTTTCTATTGTAAGTTGTTTTAGTTCTGGACTTCGCTTTTCGGTATGCTGATGGGTGTGATCGCTGTCGGCACGACATGTCATATACTTCATAGACAGGTCGGAAAATTTGCCATTTTCGCTAGAAAAACTTAGAGCGGAAATATTTTAGGTTACGGCAACTACATATGGTGAGTCTAATGTTACGACCTCAGTAGGAACACTACTTTATGACCGGTTTATGAACCAGCAACGGACCTACAGGTGAGCCTAATTTGTCTAATAGTTGTTGTTTTTGGGTCATAAACATGAAACACTTGTAGTTGATTGCTTTATTAATTTTTTGCTCTTTAAGGGTTTTTTTTAGATTCTTCAAGAACAGACCAGTGTTATCCTTCATCGCATTTTCATCGGATGTGGTTCGCATTTAACTCATTTTTTATTAATCTGAGAGATAGTCCGGTTTGAGAATGAAAGGTTTTGCTTCATGTTTCAGAAAAGCGCATGGTGGAATGGTGATTTTGTAGGCAAAGGTCCAATTTGGACAGATATGGTGGCTGTTTTCATCGTCGACTTACTGTATCAAGAAGCTCAGGTTCTGGAGAAACGTAGTAAGATTGAACCACTGAAATGGGCTCTCTGGAGAATGTTTCTAATTGCAGTAGGTTGTAAGGTCTACTCGTTCGTTATTTTGTTTGATCTTTTCGTATTTTATCCAGACGTTCGATGCATCTGCGTTTATATCTCATGAAGAGTTGCGAGGAATTTGTGCTCAGTGGGTTAAAGATCAAGCAAAGCTGAAGGATAAACTAGATTCTAATGAGAGAGTAAAGCGAACCCGCGACTACCGCTTCTTAAGTACAGCTCGAGGATGTGACGTAATCAACAAGTAGATAATGAAAAGTGGATGTTATGTCTTTTCTGATTCTATGCTTCCAGTTCTTGTTTTCATTTTTATGTTTTCGAAATAATGACAGCTGAATCAACACAACTACTATTAGGCTAAGATATTTGCAAAACGTGGACTCCGGACCAAAATTTAAGAGCCTTGTTGGTGCAGTGGGTAACACGTGAGTACCCGGAAAGCGTAATCGCAGGTTCGAATCTAGCCTGGAGTCCAATTTTTAAATATCTCAGCCTTATAATGGTTGTCTTTCATGTCATACAATGCCGTGAAAAATAATGATAGCTAGTAAATAAAAGTTAAACGAATGGCTTAGTAGTTGTGTGACACAAATATGACAGTGCTTATACATCGAGATCTCTCTCAAATCGTCATAGTGGTAGTTTCTTGCCCATATTTCAAGGAAACCTTCCATTTTTTTCATTAACATGACAATATAGACTGGTTTTCTACCTCTAATAGCACTGTCACATACCTCATTCGATATTGTTGATGTGAACAAGACTTTTACCCCTGAGATACATGCTCTTTTTGACGCACTATCACAACTGTATTTCGGGAGTCCTTACAAAGCTGTTTTACTCATACCATTTTACCTTCTGATTTTTGACTTTTTTTCTAATGGAGCGCTTTATATTTGTATATGGTAGTTTCTTTTACTCCATGTAAACTTTTTAATTTATTTCACAGCATCCTACAAGGTCGTAATACTACCATGAGTGGCACTTGAGCAGTTTTCACTGAGATGGAAGTGTTAAATATATTATTCACGTTTGGCGCCTTTTTGTTGCTATGTGCCATACGTATTTATCTAAAGGAACGAGTTTTTGAGTAGTGTTTTGTAGTAAACTTTCATCGGAGGCGAACGCACCCTCTCCCATCTCATGAAATGTTCGTGTTTGGAGGTGATACTCGCGTTAGAGACTTTCCATGGTTCCGAGTGATTGCAAGTCGTAAGGGTTCCAGAAGAAACGAGAACGTGGAAGTTTTATACACGACATACTTTTAAATACAGGGAACGTGGCTCACTTCCTTCATCGCTCGTTTTCCACGCTATGTTTTGTCACGCTTTTTTCATTGCATTAGCTAGGATTGAATTTTATCACTGCTTAAAAATCACGTCATATGTAGGGTCTGGAACACTTATAGCTCTCGCGTCCACTCAATGGTTAAGCGATGTTTTTATAACAGCTTTAGTGACACGAAGTAGCAGTTACATTCATTTGAATTGCACAGTATATCTGTCATTCATATTCGTAGAAACGTCCATATGCTGGATTGTTCAGAAAAGTGTTTCGGGATCTGAAAAGTTGTTCTCAGCTGAAGAAACAATGAAAAGCTCCTCGCAAAAAGGAAGTCTCAAAGAAACTCGTTGGCATCCTTTTGCAAAACTAGTTATCGATTTTCTTTTTCGAAACTTTTAAAACATTTACGAGACGTTCCTAATGTGATTGATGCGAGCGATTTGAGGAAGTTGAGTCTTTTTTTTTCGATAAACTCCGCGCTGGCTGAAGATCATCCAACTTCCAGAAGTTGGCACACCACTTATCATAAGTAGTTCTGTATCAAATGTCTTTTCCTGGAATTCTGTGTTAAGAAAAACCATCAGTGATATCTCAGTCTAGGAAGATATTGATCATTTGTGCCGAAGTCTAAAGAAAGTCGGTTTTTAAGGTATTGCCACCCTTATAAAATACCAACCGCCACATGACGCCTGTGGACCGTCGAATCGTATGAAACCGGCTCTGGGAAGGACGAGGGCGTGGAAACGTTAGCCGAATAAATCTTTTACCAGCGTCGTGTTAGCTTAATAATTCAGGAAACAATCACAATGTTACTAAGATATTTGCGAAACTTGGACCCAATGCCAGATTCTAACCCGCGATTTCCCTCTATTCGGAGGCGTACGTGCTATCCACTATTTTTGTGGTTGTATTTCAAATGAAGTCCTGTAATGAAAAAATAACGGGAAATATATGGAAGTTAAACATTGGTTTCGACTCAAGCTTCAACCTAACTGGGTCCAATGCCGATTTCGCTCCCCAGATCATTCCCGTTGACAGATGATTGCTGATAACATCGTTAGAGTTTAAAAAAATGGCTGAGAGAAAGGCGGAGCAAAGGCTTCGGTGGTGCAGTGGGTAACACGTCAGCCTCTGGCAAAGGTAGTTGCGGATTCAGAGCCCGACTGAGGTTCCGAGTTCTGCTCATATCTCAGCATCGTTAAAGCCGATTATTTTTTGCTACCACTACGTTGTGCTCTTAATGTATGCAAGATTCTTAGAACTTAAAGAGTACGTTCATAAGGGAAATTCTTGAAGAAAGAAGTACAATCCGAAATGAATGCCCAGGTTGTCGAAGACTAGTTCCAAAAGCAAATCAAAGCCTGTTCAAGTAGCGAGTAGAAAATCGATTATCAAAATGTTGAAGATAATGGAGACGCCATTGGTCAAGCTCCAGGCACTTCAAAGCACTGTGAAGTAATGACCACCTACATGTTTCAATAGAGGTATAAGACTGGATTGACTTGGATAAAGACACTTTAACTATCTCATCTTATCGGAAATCGTCACATGTACCATCTAGTTTTCAAATGTTGAATTCACTTTCTGACTGAAAACAAAGCTGAGTAGACGTTCAAAAACGCAGTCTAGAAGCGGTTGTTAAAACTAATTTCATTTATTTCGAAACTGACTTTCCTTGAACCTCGGTATCACTAATCAATATAAGGACCATAACAAGCGAGGACCATCGACTCGGAGCATCGGCTCTGAGGAAGACGAAGACGTCGAAACGGTTAACCGAAAATAAACATTATCAACCTCGTGTAAGCTCATCCAAGAAAGAACACATAATTTCATTTAATCTAGTGGGTCTTCATAGTCGAATCGAGTGAAATCATCATTCGACCGATAGTCCAGTGAAGGAGTGTTGTGCTTCTGAAAACCAGGAATTCTATCAGATTCTATGACACCAAAATTGATAAGTGTCAGTTATGTTAGTAATGAAGAATAAAGGAAAACTAGAACGTTTATTTGGTGCAGAATTATTGATTGTTCACTGAGTTGCAAAGTTTTCAAAGCTTATAAATCTTCGTTCCTCCTAACGCTTTACCGTAACAGTTTTCTCCCTTTCTCGCACACATGTTATCTACTTCAAACGTGTTATTATATTTTCCTTTCCCTTCATCTTCATTAAAAATTCAACTTAAGGTTATTTAAGGTATTTCTTAACCCTATATGATCTGTAGCATGTTTTAGAGACGTTTTCTTTAAACTAAGGAGCTTTCTTTTCTCAAGCGTAATAGATTAGAATTGCTCTTCATTGAAACCGAAAAAGTGATTTAAACATTGATCAAAAATCGATACAATAGCGGATTTAAAACACTTTCGACGATGGTTTTCATGAATTATTGATTGTGAAGAGCTTGGAATAGTCAAATTAGGGATTATCGAGGATGTAGCTGTTAGGAAAATTTGAACAAGAATTCATATTCCGTTAACTCATCTCTACTTTTTTTATCCACCTGCCTTTTAAAAATAAACACGATTTGTCATACGGAATGTTATGAGGCATGTAGTGCAATGGTAAGAGGTGTCGTGCTATGCACACGTGGTCTTTGTTTCGATCCCACGCTTCGAGCACACTAGGTCTTCTCTCTCTCTACGATCGGCGGCGAATCGCTACCACACCTACCTAAGAATATAGTAGCACTGACTTGATACATCGGTAAACCATCGCGAGTCATCATTATATAGGCCAGATGTCCATTCACTCACCTCTACTGATGTTTTCCTCAGCAATTAATCACCTCCGAGCATTTTATTCTTTATCCTTCGCAAAATTTCGTAATTTTATGTATGGATGTCTTATTTCTTAATGGATATTATGACGATGTTATTCACCTTTAAAAATTTCTGCTATACGAAACATTGAGAAGGATGAAGCCCAGTGTTCCCGAGTGGGCGAAGCCCATTATCGGTCCCGATGGACCATGTCCACTAATGGCTTCGATGGACCAAAGTCCACTAGTGGTCGCTATAGAGCGAAGCCCAGTGAATGAAGGTAGTGGCCAGTGAAGCTCACAAGTCTCGAGAGAGCGAAGCGCTCAGTAGAGAAAGCTGTGTGGTTTGCAACATTAGTGAGTGGACACTTTAATCGTGCCTGCTCGAGTCCACTCGGTGATTGACGGCATTACAAATGCGGCGGATGTTAGTCATTTAATATCAGTATATGTGATTAACGAGCAAGAGAGGTATACTTGATGTACGAGCGCTTTTATGGAGAATTCGAGAAATACTCCTTGTTTTGCGGACCGGTTTTTATTACACTTTTGCTCTTAACTATGATATATGTATTTCTCTCTCCTTCAAAATGTTCTCACTGGGAAGTGGGATTGCTCAGCTGGGGCAGAAGTGTGCCTAGAGAGGTTAATCAAATCGGCAGCAATCGTGCAGAACGCAAAAATATGGCTCAAATTTCTTTTTCGTCATCATGAAAACAGGTCAGAATGTATGACAACAGATCAACAAACTTATCATGTAAAAGGGGACTACCGGGTGAAAACACTTCATTCGAGTGGTGCTCTACTCCATTGCATTCGATTTGGTACGACCACGAAGAGCCACATTGTAAGGGCGAACGGCTGTAGACAATCGACTAGGATCTTTGAGTTTCTCAAGAAGGCGATAGCATCGAAACATTAGCTAATGAAGGGTTATACGAACGTCTGTTGCCTTAGTAATCCAAGAGAAGATTGATTATTTATTCCAAGGCCTAACAGAAGTACGTTTTAGAAGTATTGCGCGCCAGGTGCCATCTAACCGAGGACACCTATTTCTGGGGCAGGCATTGCCACCATGAAAACAGCAGAGCACCTGACCACATTGGGTAGCAACAGATCAACAAAAGTCCTGGATAAAAGGGTCTGCTGCAAAGAAAATACTTTATTTGAGCGATTTTCCACTCCGGAAGATTCGATTTTATGTG